AGAATCATAGAATCGTCAGGGTTGGAAGGGATCTTAAAGATCACGTAGTTCCATCCCCTGTGCCATGGGCAGGGACATCCCCCAGTAGATCAGGCTGCTCAGAGCCCCATCCAGCCTGGCCTTGAAAACTTACAACAGTATCATTTCATTTATATAAGTAACATTGTTGGCAAATGTGTTTAATGTTAACGTCCCACTTGTTACTGTCTACATGTATTTAAGTGAATTTCCATGTAGGGATTTACTCAGCAAGATTTAGTCATCTACAAGGTATTAAGCTAGTTGTATATGTAGCCTCTGGAGTTAGATGGGGCCACACTTGTCACTTCTGGAAGGCTGATCCTCCAATTTCATCTGTAAGTTTGCTATGTTTCTTCATTTTCAGACTTTCAGTCTGTGAATCCATACTTTTCTTTTAAATCATTTGATCTCATTTAAAAGCTGCACATGTACAGTTTTTCGTAAGCATGTGCAATTTTGTCCAGCTTAGTCATCACTCCGGGACCACTTAGGAGTGGTCTGTGGACCATAGGTTGATGGTGAAGGGAGACTAGATAAGAGCTAAATAGCTGATTAAACTGAATCTTGTCTCTGGTGCCTGTTTTGTCAGCACAGAAGATCTGATGTAATAAAATGTCCTAAAGCAAAGGCAGTACTCTGAGGTAATGTTCTAAACTGCTGAGCTAATCAGCATGATAAGGTCTGAATGTAATGTCTAATATCCTCTAAATCTAAACCGTACTAGTGCTGTATTGAGTTAAAAGGATGATGTTAATGTGACACCAATTTTTTGTGTATAAATACTATAAATAAAACCTGCGTAATTTAAAGATTAGATGCTAGATTGAAAAATTGCACAGAAATAATTAAAACAGACAATGTGATCCCCTCAGAAGTATGTAAAACTTTTAAATTGTTTTTTCCACGTACTGTTTCACTAGTTTTTCTGTGAGTTTATGGCTGACTTACCTAGGAATAATTTTCACATACATTTAAACGGGAAAAGACTTCTGTTAGCCTGAGATAGTTATGGTTGTTTTTACTGCTGCAAATGGTAGGTTATTCAGTAGCACTAGTAGGAACCAAATCTTTCTCAAACCCAAATAAGTACCTTTGCCTTTGTAAAACAAAAGAAATTGAAAAATAGTGACCAGAATTGTAAGTTTGGGGTGTGGCATGTAACTAGTATTTTCTGCTAACTTAAGAGCATTTAAGACAATTTATTATGAAGAAAATGCACGTTATGCCTTTGAATTTTATTTTCCTCCATATAAACAGAATGATATTCTTATACTAGTAGGCTTTTGTCATGGCGACTGAGTACATGTTATAAGACATTTGTGGTTTTTATTTTACTCCACAGTATTTTTTTTGTGCCAGCATTACAGGCATGTAGTCACTACTATAAAAGCCAAATCTGGAGACTGGATTACTCAAGCTTAAGTTTAACATTAGGCATAAGTTACTTTTGTGTACTTGAGTATTTGCGAGCCAGCACTTTTTCATTAAAAGACCCCACTACTAAACAGATTGTCTTGCTAATCAGTTTTAGAGCAGTTGGTAAAATTATGAGCTTTCTTTTGTCTTCTGGAGTCATATGGAGTATATGTGGTGCCCTGTCTTTGTACTTAATCTGAAAAGAAGTATTTTAAGTGTTTTCAAGTAGAGTCTTTGATGGCTGACAGTAACATCAATTGTGGCTTTTAAGTTTGTGTTCTTGCTTTAAATCAGACTTACCTTCCAGTTTGTCCTGACAATATTGTACGAATTTTAAGTAGTGCAAAACTACACCACTTGGTGGTGTTACATGTCCTGACTGTAAAAAAAAAAATAAAATTAAAAATTGCTATTATTGATTTGTGATAAAATCCAGCAAAATCAGTCTGTTTCGTAAAACAAATATTACTGCATCACTATTCTTCATGTACATTTGAGACATGTGATGATATTACTGAATTTTTGCATATAAATTTATTAAGTGTGTTCATTTCAGTAGGATGTCACAAATAGCTTCTACGTCTGTACTTGAAAGTAGCGTTTCCTAAAATAAAAATCAATGTTGTTTGCAATAGTTCCAGTTAAATCAAGATAAAACGAACTTTGACACGCTGAGAAATATTCAAGGACTCCATGCACCTTTAAAGCTGCAGATGGAATTCAGAGCAGTGAAACAGGTATGCATATTTATCCAGCTTAAACCACTTAAAAAATGTTTTCCTTGGAACATGCTTTCAGAGAGACATCTTTCTTGGTTGAAATACCTTACATTTCCAAAAGAAATTCTTTCAATGGCCTACTTTCAATAAAAACAACCGAACACTGCAATTACTAGTTTCTTGAACAGTCAATATGCTCAAGTCTTTCAGCTGCTGTTCTTGTATTGGTTACTTGGTGAAGTGGTTATTGCTCTAGCTGCTTTTGGGGACTAGGTTTCTGTAAGCCCTCAGAGAAAAGCAGGAATTGAGTATTAATTCCTATAATTAGTGCTCTCCTCTGTGTAATGTATGACTGTAATGGGAAGGAATTTCTGCTCCTGTAGGGAAAAGAGACTTAGAGGTCTGAAGCACGCAGTGATTTGGGAATGGATGTATAGAGTACTGTCAAACCTGAAGCAGGGAATTTGCTCTGTGCTTATTGTTCAGCAGCCGTTCTTGTAAGATCAAGAGAGGCCTACAAGGAGTTAAGGTCAAAGGTTTTAACTCCTGAGAAGTTGAGTCTGTCTGCTTTTCCTTCTTACCACCTAGGATGGAGGCTTAGTGGAGGGAGACTGACTTTGTCCCTTAAGAAATAGAAAGCTCATTGGTCCTAGTAAACTTTTTTAGCTTGCTGAAAGTTGTCAGGCTATATTAAGAGTTATTTTTCCAAGTGATTCACAGCAATTTACACTCCCAGCAGATGAGGTGCTTCTGAGCCACAGCCATCTTCATTAAACTTGGCAGAAATTACTGGTCCTGGAGATGTGCAAGTCAGGATGTATGAAAACATCCTTTGATTTCCACTGTGCTGTTCTGTGAGGAAAAACCTTTTTCCTAACTTATGTTAGCACATGGCAGAAGATAAGGTGGGTGAGGATATCCTGCTAGTGTGTCCCCACAGATATTTTGAGGGGATGGATGGGGGCAATACGGCAATCGGAAAGTTTTTCGCTCCCAGCATCATGTTAGATATACAAGTTCTCTTGTGGTTTAATTTCACTTTTCTAAAATATTTACCAGAATAGTGTATTTGAACTTCTGACAACTGTACCAGCAGTGATTATGGAAATCTTTGACATATTTTGTATGTAAAGAGATGGCTACATCATAATTTTATGATTGTAAAATACATTCACGATATAACTGAAGTAGCCTGATCTAGTCGAGAGGTGGTGTCCCTGGTGACAGGGAGGCTGGATTAAAATGATTTCTAAGGTTCCTTCCAGCCTAGGCCATTCTGTGATGTGATATGATATGATATGATAATCGTGAATGCAGTCGTAAACACAGATATGCCATTCTGAGAAATTTTAGGATCTGAGTGCTGTGTGTTCCACTTGATTTTTATTTTTTTTATTCATTTTTTTGTAGTACTGTGGGTGAAGAATGCAAAAGAGAATGTTGCAAGTAACTAGGGGTATAGACTTGAAACTTATGAATTGGTGGGAGTCAGAAAAATGACTACGATTTAGATTAATGGCAAAAAGTATTATGTTTAGATGTGAAAATCAACATGGCTCTTTCATTTACGTTCCTGACTTGTGTCTGAGATGTAGGAAACTTAGAATGTCGTTTCCAACCACTGCAGCATATGTCAGTCACCCAGTACAGGGTGTAAATGTGTTTGCAGTGAGCCTCTCCAGCTTTATGTGATGACATAGGAGAAAAAAGCCCCAACTTTAACTATTTGTTGTAGTAGCCACACTGCTTGTGAAAGCTACGAATCTAGTGAAAGGCTGTTCTTTACAAAACAGAGATAAATGATTCAAGAAGGTAGTGTTAGGCAGGTTTTGCTCTGAATGTATGCCAGTAGTTTTTGAAGAAAGAAGTGGCGTTGTCCATTGATTTTCTCAGTCACTTCAGCCTGAGAAGTCCAGATATAAACCCCTTCAATTTCAGCCTTGCAGTAACTTGAGCTATTGTCTTTTTACAGGTTCAGCGTCTCCCGTTTCTTCACAGCTCAAACTTAGCACTGGATACTCTGAGGGGAAATGATGGAAGCATTGGTTTTGAGGATATCCTTAATGGTAAATAAATTCTGTTTTGAATGTTATGAAACTATTTAAAGGCAAAATTTGGGAACTGTGAAGTTGTTGCCTCTAGGGAATAACAGAATTAAATGCACAAACTGCAACGAAAAAATTGAATTCCTGAAGGCAAAGAAGCACTGGAAGAAAGAGATACAAATGTAGTTCAGCTGGTAATTTTGTTGAAATTACTCTTGAAATATTGAGTAAGGCAGTGTTTGCTTGTAGGCTGTTTCTAAATGAGTAGGAGATTATGTGCTTATATCTTATGCCCATTTCCCCAGAAACTTTTGAACTACTTGTGCACAAGTCATGGAAATTGCAGATACTAAGTTTTTCTAAGTTCTGTAACTAAACAGAAAGGCTAGAGGAGAGATACTGAGCTAATGAACCAGAGATGTGGCAGGGAGTAGTTTCCATCAAATTAACTCAGGAGCTTGTGGTTGTGTGGTAGGCTACTCACTGACAGTATAAGTGAAATAGAATAAACCTGCAGAAATAGTTTTTAAAAAAATACTTTCTTATAGCTGGATTTGTGGAATAGAACAAGGGTTTAAAAAATAATTTATTTCTACCTGGTAGTTAAGAACATGGAAGGAGGCAGAAGGTATTTTGAGATGTGACTGGAGAATGCAAAGAGCCAGGGAGGTAGGAAACTAGAAATAATGGAGGGGTAAGGTAAATCTGGGATGTTTCTTGGGATGGATTTAGAGGGATCAGGGAAAGGAATCTTAGATTATTCTGGTTCGGGAGGTAGAGCAATGTCAAATATAGTTTATAGGAATTTGATTATTTACCATTCCTCACAAAAAACTTGCATATTTATAGAGTGCTAAAAAGAGAATGGCTTAAAAGTGATTTTGGTAAGGTTCTGTTAATCAGCTGGGGCTGGATTAGATAATTTTGGTGTCTCTGGAGAAATCAAAGGTGTTAATATTCCATATTTATAGAAGGAAAACACTCCGTACACCCATAAAGAAAGGTGTATTTCTTCCAAAGTGCCGTCACTATTTCTTTTCTGGCCTTGATATTTGTATGGAGATGAAGGTCATACTGGCAGTATAGGAATATGCAGAGGACACAACAGATCTTGATAACCTTTGAATACAGTGGCGAATCCTTACAGGATGGAGGTATTTCAGAGATATTTAAGGGCACAGAATTTCTGTGAAACTAGGTGGTGAGGTGGAGAAAACACAGGTGTATCCCAGCTAACAGAAGGGAGCAGTGTGAGCTCCTGTTGTGCAGAGCAGTTGTGCTGGAAGGAGGTAGAACTCATGGGCGAAAGCTTTGGCCGGGCTTGAGTTTTCTTAAAAAAACCCCTCAAATCAGCCTTGAGATCGAGGCTGTAGGAGACCATGCGTATGTAGAACTGGTTGATTTTACTTGAAATGTATGTGTTTGGGGTCCGTAGGAAACACTGTTCCACTGTAGGTGTATTTGTTACATTTGATCATTGCTCTTGATAGAGACTTGCGAGTTAGGGACCTGTTGTACAACACTGTCAAAAATCAGTCGAGTAACTGTTGCACTAAGCATTAGAATGGGGGGGAAGAAAAAGGTCAAGTTCATTGTTATTGTTGGTCTTTGTAGCTTGGTGAAAGCCTCACGCTGTTGACTTTTTTTTTTTTTTTTTTCTCCAGACCCTTCACAGAGTGAGATTATGGGAGAACCACACATGATGATGGAATACAAGCTTGGTTTATTGTAACAAAATGTACTCCCCCAAAATGTTTTGTGCGTGTCTTTATACTACAGATCTAAATACATGATACTAAATTGACACTCACAGTGTTGAGCAGTCCTACAGTTATCCTTTGCCTTCCTTGATGAAAAGGCACATTAAATGTCTAAAGTCTATACATTGTTCTGTGCTTGTTGTCAATCATATAAATGTCCTGTAACTAGGTAGTTTAAATAATGTCTCTTCATACACTGCTCAGGACAATAGCTTCTTAACTATGGAAATGCTATATATATGTACAAGAAATCAAAAAAATACCCATGCATTTTAAAACTGATTACTGTAGGTAAATGCATTTAATGGATGTTCTCGCAGAAGAACTTTTTACGGGGGAAAAGGAGGTATTTTCCATTGGGTAACTCTTTGTTCATGAAAACTTCCATACACTTTTTAAACTATTGAATAAAAGTTTGCTATAAATGCTGTTGCGTTCCAAAATATATTTAATCATAAATCAAGGATCTCTTCCCCACAGCACAGGCAGTGTTGTTTCTTTTTCTTATAACATCTTTAAAGATCTTTAACCTCTGCACTGCCAGTGGAATCCCGCTACATGTATTTCATCCCCCTCTGTTGACAGTTGTTCATGAGTGAGCCATTAAGCTTTTATGCAGAACTGGAAGTATTGCTGTAAGAAGGGAATTATAGGTCTGGATAGTTTTTCATCTCCATCCCTGAGAGGATATTCAGGGTTCTGAAAGTAGAAGCAAGTTCCACTTGGAATTTAAAGAGGTGTTTTAAAATCCGTTTGGGAACGTAATCCAAAAGAGCACTCCTAGGTGTTTTAATATTTGGAGATCAAGAAGGAATGCAGTGCCTCATTATGACAGTGGTGCTAGATGACAAGTAATTTTTTGTGGGTTTATCAACATCAGATCTTCATTTAGAGAATGAGATCTATACTTAAATACACATTTTGAAGAAGTGGGCCACTGAAAAAATTTTTGTGTGCTTCAGTGTGTGTTATTATATACAGGGCTGTAATAACTTTTCTGATTTCATGTATGTGTCATACAAATCCTGAAAGAATGCTAATATGATGTGGCATATTAGGAGGAAAAAAGAAGTCTATGGTTCAAAAGATGTCATATGTGGGGAGCTGGAAACATATTTTTAAGACAGGAATTATCTTTTATTCAGCAGATTTTATGACTTGGTTAAACTGCTAAGTGCACTTAGCACTCTTGTAGATACTTTTAGCAGAAACATCGCTGTAAACCTCTTTTCACAATCCCAGACATTTTCAGTGTGCTTAAAGCTGCCACAACTTCCTTTTCCATCTGGGTCAAAGCCTCTAGCTTCTGTCCTATCAGTTCTACAGTGCTTTTATGTGCCTCTCTTGCAAAACATTGCAGCAAATTGAAAACATTCAGATGACACAGTATGAGACACAAGTGGTGGTTTTACTTGGTTTTTATATTTAAACTTGTTTCATTTAAGAAGCGAAGCTTCTAAAATTGTCTTTCACTTGAGAGTTGCAGAGATTAGAGGCTTCTGCTATGAAATACAAGCTATTTAACTTGTATTTGTTGCCTTAGTGGGGTAAAACATAGGACCAATACATTGAACTTGTAAGCATGTGCTTACTTGCTGCTTTGATTTTTGTAGCTCTCAGTCTTCTTGTGAGCTGTTATACTTACTAAATATCAGAATTGGCTCCTCTTCTATAATTGACAAGTTTCTTGGCAGTTTTGCATGAAGCAAACTGTGTTATAAAGCAAGCTTGGCGTTCAGTAGGCTTTGAATTGCTCTAGGATCTGGCCAGGAAAGCTAAGGGATTAATTTACCAGACCTGAGAGAAATGTAAGTACAGGCATTGATTTTTCGGGAGGATTTTGAGGTCTGCCTTCCTACTAGCCCTGCTTCAGAAAGCAGGGAGCCACCCATAGTTATACAGTTACTGGTACATTGTTCCCAACTAGCTAGTTGGCCTTTCCTGATGTTGGTTAAAAGCAGATGCTATTGTATCTGAGCAAAACTATATTAACACTAATTTATAGTTTCTCATTAGTGCAGTGAAGAGTGGACACAGGTGATGAGATTGGACATAAGTTTTAGGTGGGTCTGTTTAATGATTAGTATAATAATCTTAGGTGAGATCAAACCATATTCAGAGCAAGGAAGTTGCATTGCTCATTATGTCTGTAAAGAAGCTAATTTTAGGGGTTAGCCAGGCTAGCAAGTGCCAGGTGTATGGGGCCTGGGCAAGAATTTATGCTGTTAATGAAGTAAGGGGAATAAACCGGGACTGAGGCAAAGAGCTTTTGAGATAGAAAGGAAGGGTTACACCAGCACAGTGTTGTAGTGGGCTGATCTGGGGACTGGTCTTCTGACTCAACTCCTCTTGATTTCTACAAGCCTCATTCTGCAAAGCAGGCGCCGCACATAGTAGCGGCCCGCAGAGGTGTGCCAAGCGAGGCGCGCGGAGCTGGGACAGAGCCAGCACTGGTCTCTCGTGTTGGATCCAATGCAAGGGGAGGAAGGTGCCTGCAGATCCACTGGTCTGACAAGGTGCAACACAAGCCCCTCCGCTGACTTCTAGAGAGCTGTGCTGTCCCTGTTCTGCAGCTCCCTGCCTTCTCTCGGTGCTGTGTTCTGAGCTGTGTCCTTTCCTCTCCCTGAGCACAAGAGGAAGGCAAAAGCACATCTTCCTGCACTGCTGTTTGTTTGTTATGACAGCAAAAAATAGATGATACCATAGTGCTGCTGCTCCTGTTTACATAAACATCCCTCTGCCACTCATCCCATTGGCCGTTTATCAAAGAACAAGAACTACAAATGCAATGTAGAGTTTAAAAAAACCCCTTCATTATTATTTTGTCAAAATACAAGTAGAGCAATTATTATAAACTTAGAACATTTTGATTTAATAATCTGAAGTGCATTAGTACCCGATTTCTTAACTTGCACCGTGCTAAGCACTTTAAAACCACAGTTCATATCCTTCATAAACTTACAGCCAGTTTAGGTGCTGCGTCTACCAGAAATATTTTGCAAAAAGCAAGTATTTTGTACAGCAAAAGCAAACCATAACAAAGTCGTTGCTGAAGCATATGTGCTTGTCCTCATTTGGACTGACACAGTGCCACTGCAGAACTGGCTCGCTTTGTTGCTACCTTCTGAGTACTAGTGAAGGTGGGCATTGAAGAAGAGAAAGTAAATGCACACCTGCCTCCCTTCTTTGTAATTTGCTTTACTTTTTCCAGGCAGTTTTGTGTGAAACAGTTAATTTCATAAAGCCTTACATAACTGCATAATGAAGAGGCAATGAAGACAATGTAACCTTTGTGCTGAAATCCTTTACATCAGTGTTTTCTTAATCTCTCTACAAGTACTCATTATGCTTTGGACCCACTGATTATTGTAAAACTCTGCTCACTTCTCCAACAAGTTGGCAGCAACTTGGGCACCTCGAAGGAGGGGAGTTAAGAGTTTTATTTACTGGCTACTGTCTAAACTGGGTAGGAAAAGCTCATGATCTTTAATTGCCAACGTCAGCCTTGGTAGTTCAGGACAGAAGTCTAAGAGCTGGCTATAGCTGTTAGCTGTATAAATATTCATTCCCCTTGTCCTGGGTAAATGACAGTTTTCGCTAGAGATGGTGGTCTCCTGGATAGGACAAACTATCCTTTACCTAATTTGGATCCTCTTCCAAACTTCATCCTGATCACGATAGAAAGCTTGGAAATAATGCTGTCATTCAGACAAAAAGGATCTACAATAGTATCATCATGATGTGGTAGTAGTATTTTTTGGTGGAGTACCACTGAGAAGGTCTGCAGAAGTACTCTGTTCACATCATGGATATTAACAGCTGCAAGCAGATCATTGATTACACAGTATATCCTGTGTGCATGTGAAGTCAATTCCCACATCATAGTTGCTTTCTTAAAGTTTTTCATCTGTAAATACGAAACCACTTTATATTATTTTGATTTCTCTACATAATCTGTTTTGAAGGGGTGGGGAGGAGAGTCACATACAAGCTACCTGTGCTTGCAATGATCAGAACAATAGTGGCTGTCAAACCCTCTCTGAAAAAAACACGTAGGAGCAGTCCTTAACATGGTGTTATGTTCAGGCTTCTGCTGCGCTCTGCATTCCAGAAGCTAATGCTCTGAATAATTTGTACTTAAATTTCAAGCAAAACCATGAAGAGTCAATGCAGAAATTGATTCCTAGGTTTGAGTCTCACCAGTTTGCACTTAAGCCCTAGGCAAGTCACTTGTCCTCTCTGTTCATTTCTCTCTCTGCAACAGGGAGGATAATGGATAATATCTATTAGGGAAGGAGGTTCTTAATAGCTTTGTAAAGTGCTCTGAAAATGAGAAATGCTGTTGAAGTGCTTGTAAATTAGGTAAGATGCATGATTCACATTTGATCACCTCATTTCAGGGTTGTTAATAAAATAACCAAGGATCTACTGAAGGAAAAAGCTATTGGAGCCTTTCACTAGAACTAAAATACAGCCGACTTAAGTAGAAAACAAGAAATACCTATGGGACAAAAAACAGAGGTGTCTGTGTGCAGTCTCCAATACATGGAAAATGATAAACATAAATATGCAATATGGCCTCTGCAGAATGTAGGCATAGGCCTAACTTCACATTCTGCAAGCTGGAAATGTTCAGAGCACGACAGTTATGTGTGAAAATCCACTTTAAGAATTAAGTCACAGGCAAGGTCCGCACATTAAACTTGCACAAACACTCTCTGCTAACTGCCGAGCTATAAGTCTACTTACGGAAAGTGCAAGTACTGCCTCCAGTTTGATCACTTTCTGAAAAAACCCCCACCTTTTAATTTAGTAATTTTAGACAGGTTTGGGAGCTTCACCATTAGGACAGGCCTTTTAAGGTGTACACAGTGGACTGCATCCTCAGCTGGCAGAAGCTGGGCTGGCTTCAGTAGAATTGCCAGCACCCTCCGAGTTGATAAGCTTATCTCCTGTCACCCCACTTAGACTGATACAAGATATATCACTGTCCACAGCTGACATTCTCAAACTTGAGAAAGTGTAAGTGGAAAGAGAGGATCATCCTACCTATTTTCTCCATTGTGCTGAAAAGCAGCATTAAAATCTCCACTGCCAGCCTATTTGCATAGTTAAGAGCTAGCTTTAGTCAAGTGCTAAAAAGAGACTGGATAGAGTGTCCTACCAATTTAGTGCTTATTGCTGCAGGGCCACTTTAAGATTGCATTTGCAACTGTTGTGTTATCTCTAAGGTCTCTATATGCCATAATGGTCTCTGACACTGCACATCAGATTAGAAAAAAAACCACCCTGGACGTGAATCCTTTTTTCAACTATCAGTGCTCTCTATGCTGGATACTTCTTCAGGTACAAGCAGAGCCAAGTCTTCCCCATTCCAGCTTGTGCACAGAAGCCAGCTGTAAAACACAAGCAAGACAGATACCTT